TCCATGGTCACCAAACAGGCAGCCTCAATTGTGAGACTACTGTTAGATTGAGTTTGTGCTAATCTGCTACCTTTCTCTAGTATTTGTCTGGATTCTGCAGTGACCACACTGGTAAATCCTGTATACTCTAGAAGTATAGCACTCATTTCTGTCACCTTTCCCTCCGTTAACCCTGGGATACAATACTGTTTTGTTTTGTTTTGTTTTATCATCCTAGCATGTGGTGTGGGGTAGCTTTTAGCAGCTTTCTTTCACTTGGCCTTCTCAGTATGATAACTCATATCTCACATGCCAAGGACTCAAAATGGGGGTTGCACTGGCACGCCCTCCTTGGAGCACACCCAATTGAATCTCCTTTTTGAGTGAATTTTCTTTCTCCTAAACTCTAAGGGTCTTCGTGATACTTGCATCCAGGGGACCAGTCGGCAGCAGCAGTTAGTCCCAAGTTAACCCCCTGAACTTGTCTCCAAGGCCCCCTCTTCTTTGAATTTCCAGTGAGCTAATAGCTGTCCCACCTTGGCTCACTTCTTTCCCACGAAGTTTCTAGAGAGCCAAAGCAGCCTAGGCTCTTTCCAGTTGCTTCTTCTGTCCTAGACCCTTCTTTGTTTCACTCTCCCAGCTTTACTAAACATACTCTCAAAGTAAAACATTTTTAAGAAGGAGGTTGTACTAATTTCCAAGTATGTCTTTTTTAATTATATGCTCAGGGCCCAGGAAAGTGACCACCAGGAGGTCCACAGACCCATTGGGCCCATTGTGAGCTGGATCTTGAGCCAGGACTCAGTTTATTTCCTGATCCTCATAAGTCCATGATGACACTTCCAGACTCCAGATGTCAATGTCCAGACTCCAGATGTCAATGTCAACCTGTCCTCAAAACATTAGTGTTCCTGTTTCCCTAATGAATGTCCGTAAGGAGAGCCAACTACATTATTTGTGTGCCCAACACTCCTGGATTGAGAATGAGCAAGAGAAATTGCCCACCAAAAGTGCCAATGGTTCTTTCAGCCCAGGCAGGGAAAGGATGGCCAGGTGGGACCAGAGGGTATGGCCAAGAGTCCCCTGCCTGGGAAAACAGGAGGAGATGGATCGTGTGTGTGAGCTGAGGCTTCAAGCCCACAACACATATTTTATTTTCTGCATCACACTTCACTTACAGAACACAAATGTATAGGTAAAATTATTATTAAGAATTTCAAACCCTGCCCTGGCTGGTTTGACTCAGCAGTTAGAGCATCAGCCTGAGGACCAAAGAGTCACAGGTTTGATTCCAATTAAGGGCATGTACCAAGTTGCTGTTTGGTCCCCAGCCCTGGTTGGGGTCATGTGGGAGGCAACCAGTCGATGTGTCTCTCTCACATCGATGTTTTTCTCTCTCTCCATCCCATTCTATCTGAAGATAAATGGAAAAATATCCTCGGGTGAGGATTTAAAAAAAGAATTTTGCCCTGGCCAGTTTGGCTCAGCGGTTAGAGCTTCGGCCTGCAGTCCAGAGAGACCCGGGTTCAGTTCCTGCTAAGGTCGCGTACCTCAGTTGCAGTTTGTCCCCGGCCCTAGTTGGGTTGTGCGGGTGGCAACCACTTGATGAGTCCCTTTCATGTCGATGTTTCTCTCTCTCTCTCTTCTTCTCTCTCCCTCCCACTTTATCTGAACAAAAAATGGAAAAATGTCCTCAGGTGAGGTTAAAAAAAAAAAAAGAATTTCAAGCCTGGTTGGTGTGGCTCGGTGGATTGATCATCATCCCATGGACTGAGAGGTCCGGGTTCAATTGCCGATCAGAGCACATGCCTGGGTTGTGGGCTTGATCCCCAGTAGGGGGCAGCCTGTCAATGTTTTTCTCTTACATTGACGTTTCTCTCTCTCCCTTTCTCTCTCTAAAAAATCAGTAAAGACATATATTTTTTAAAAAGAACGAAAAAATTTCAAGACGGCGAACATTAAATTTCAAATGCAGTGGCCTTCTGAGTGTGAAGTCCATGAGACCTATGGCATATGGGGTCTTAGAGACATAGGTTTTTTAGGAAATTGTTATACTTGCTCTGGTGTTACTGGTTCCTTTCTCCTGGGTACCTGGCCTCCTTCAATCAGTGGGTTCAGGTTCAGGAACTGGCCCAGGTCCAGAAACTGGACATTGGGTTCTGATTTTTTATTGGGGTAACCGCCCTCATTATCTTGATCTTCTGTTCTTGATTTCTTTTGGTGTTACTGTGGACGAAAAAGGGGCACTGTGATAAATCTAACTGAAAATAACCTCACAGAGTGATCTGACCATAAATTCCTAACTGGACAGGTTGTGGTGGGTAGTCATGCCCCCTCTTTAGTGAAAGGGTTTAAGCAAGCCCTGTTTATTGTTCTTGTGCATCTAGGTTAACACACCTTTGAAATGCCAGAAGCAATTCTCTTTTAAGTCCCCTGAAAGAGAGCACATAATCTTAGCTCTCCTCTGATCCAATCCCTGCTTTGTTTTCTTCCACCTTCATGTAATCTTCCTTATAATCCCTCCTTACTTCCAAATGCATAAAAGAAACAAACAGCAAACTGTTATTCTCTGGAACATTTGAGATCTTGCTTCCCTGCCATTGTCATCAGTTTTAACTGAAATAAACTCATAAAATTTTCTACAGGTTTGGATGTTTGATTTTAGAGAGAAAGAGGGAGGGAGAGAAACATTGATTTGTTCTATTTATTTATGCATTCATTGGTTGATTCTTGCATGTGTCCTGACCAGAGATTGTATTGGGACAACACTCTAACCAACTGAGCTACCTACCTATCCAGGGCCAGGTTTGGACATTCTTATGTCAACATTATAGATAGAGAATTACTCTTTTTTTGTTTGTTTAAATTGTTGTTGTTTTTTAATCCTCACTTAGGACATTTTTTTGATATTTTGTTCAGATAGAGTGGGAGGGAGGGGTAGAGAGAGAGAGAGAAACATCGATGTGCAAAGGACACATCAAGTGGTTGCCACCCACACGACCCAACCAGGGCCGGGGACAAACTGCAACCCAGGTATGTGCCTTTAGCGGGAACCGAACCCTGGTCTCTCCAGACTGCAAGCTGACGCTCTAACCGCTGAGCCAAACCAGCCAGGGCTGTTTAAATAGTTTCATCGATTTTTAGAGAGAGAGGGGAAGGGAGAGGGAGAGAGAGAAACATCGATGAGAGAGAAATATTTGTTGCCGCCTCCTGCACACCCCATACTGGGGATCTAGCCTGCAACTCAGGCTTGTGCTTTGACTAGGAATCGAACCAACAATCTCTTGGTACATGGGACTTCTAACAGTTAAGTACCATGAACTGGTCTCCTTTGTTTCAGAGTCCGGTCATCACCTTTGCTATCAGTGAGGTTAGTTGTGTAACAACCTCTCCTGTGGAGGAGAACTTCTTAATAACCTGGTGCCCTCTCACTGGCACATTCTTTTTGATATCCTTCCAGCTATTCCAAGGAACATAATCTTTTGATGGATTTTTCTGACCACTTCAACAAGCCTACTTCCCTGGGCCTTTTAAATCCCTTTCTCCACCGTTTGGCATTGTTACTTAACATGGATTATCACTTTTCCAGCTTTTAGGGACCATCCTAGTTATAGTAAGTTCATACCATATCTTAAGGTATTTGCCAGGGTGTTAAATCTTATATCTCTGGAGAATGATCAGTCACTTCTCCCTTTATAATCTTATGTTCTAGTCCTCATGTTCAAGCACCCTCAGAATTCAGTCACATTTGTATTCCTCTGGTACATGCTGGCTAAGTCTTATAGCTCTTTTAGGTTATATAGTTCCTTTCTGATCTTATCAGACACAGCATTAACTTACTATAAGTTAAAGGCCTACAAGCGAAGAAGGGGCATGGAGGGAGCAGATTCTGAGGGGGCATTGCTTTACAGAGCAGATTGGGGAGTCCTCTGTATTATCTTCAAGTGAGAAGAAGGTGCTAGCTCTATAGTAGCTCTTATAGGGCCACTTTTGTAGTCTCAAGGGGTTAAGGTGTTAATCACTTTTAGCTTTTTGTTATCTTTTTCTAGAGCATTATTTGAATTTAACAATAGCCATTCGATCCCATTGTCATTATAGTTATTATTTCCCCTTTACTGTTCACTTGCCTGATACATCTAATCACTACAGTATTTCTTTCCACAGATAGAAAATCACTATTCACCACTGGTGAAAGTTTAAGAATTAGATCAGTACCTCGTGCCAGGGATTATCTGTGTTACACCCACCACCAGTGATGGAGTCCTCATTGCCATCTAGTCTGTGAGCAGTTCAACTCCAAAACCACATATTTCCAATTTTCTCAGATCAGATGTAGCACCAACTATTAGTAGGTACTGTTCTCTGAAAAGCACTCTGAATTGGTGTTTAGTATTCAGACTGTTTATGGGGATTGCCGTTGGGATCCAATCCATGAAAGAGATAAGAAGCAAGACTGGGCAGATTTGATTCTTCTCTTAATTAAGGATGAGGGAGGCTGGGTAACTATACTTAGTCAAATTTCTTTCAAAAAATTTTTTTGCTTTATTTTCATATTTGATCATTCTAAACTTAGAACTTACTGAACCATCCTCTTATATCTAAAATAACTTCTACTTTCTTTAGGCAAACCAATTCCTTCCTTCTAAGATATTCTCATATACTTGCTCAGGTGCTTATGTGAGTTTGGGAGATATTTTTTTGTAATATGAAACTTTGATTTTTCTCTTATACTCTGGTAAATTCAAGATGGGGTTTGGAAAGGGAATTTTCTGAGGAAACTGTGAATGATATATTTAAAATAAAAATTATCCTTAAATGTTTTATGATATTTTTATATTATGAATCTGTATTTCAACCTCTTAAAAATAAATCCCAGTTGGCAATGTTCTCACAATAAGTTGTACATTTCTATAGTGTTCCAATTTTAAACTATAATCACTGTTATTGAACTGGGTTTATTTTTTTTAAAGATGATGGATTTTATGTTTTAAGTATATTATTTACTCTTTTTTTCTTTTTAGAAACTATACCCTACCTCTCTAAACTGGTTAATAGTGGCATGGAAGATCCATTTGGTGAGTATCACCTACATTTTTCTTAGTACATGATATTTGTGTTTTATCCTCACCTCCATTAAAGCTTTGAGAATAAATTAATTTTTTTCATGTTCAGTATGCTACTCTTTCAATTAGTGGTTCTTATACTTTTGATGTCAGGATCCCTTTATACTCTTAAATATGGGAAATCGAGGGCCCCAAAGATCTTTATTTGTATGTCTTATATTTGTTGATATTTATAATATTACAAATTAAAACTCAGAAATTTTGAATATATTAATTCATCTAAAATAACATTAGTAAACCCATTATATACTATATAAATAACTTTTTCTTTATTGATTTTTAAAGAGGGAGGAAGGGAGAGGGAGAGAGAGAGACAGAAACAGCAATGAAAGAGAACATCAGCTGGCCACCTCCTGCATGTCCCCACTGTGGACTGGGCTCAAAACCTGGGCATGTGCCCTGCCAGGAATAGAACTGGCAACCTCTAGGTGCATGGGTTGATGCTCAACCACTGAGCCACACTGGCCAGGCATATAACTCTCCCTCCCCGCCCCCCTTTATCTTTCTTTCTCTCTTTCAAAAATTAATAAAAACATATTAAAAAGACAGAAAACAAAACCATGTATTCTCTGGAAAATTGACTGTACAGTTGGAAGATAATGAGAGTGGAAAGACAAATAACCTCTTTGAATTATTATAAAAAATAATTCTAATCTTGCTATTAGGGATTCCTAGTGGTCCCCAGACCATACTTTGAGAGCTGCTGCTCTAGAATGTTAGTTAATTCAAACAAAACAAGAACCACGTGGTAAGTTAAAATAAGAAAATTCAAATTCTCTATGTAACAGATGGTTAAGGGAATATAAATCTCGATACACAAAGATTTAATATCTACCTTTTTGACTAAAATGGCAGTTACTGTGTATTGAACCCTACTTTCATATTGACTGTAATTTCAGGGAGATATAGTCTAGGATATCCAATTATTAAAAAATTATAAACTAGGAAGTCTAGTTAGGAAGTACTTCCCACTTAAAATATGTAGAGCACAAAAGGAACCAGAGTCGGTTTTCCTTGTTTAACCTCAGCATGCATGCTGAAGGAAGATTTTGAGTCAAGCATTTGGTCATTTGTTACCAAATAGGATAAATCTGAATCTCCTTTTATGCCAGTGTAACTTGAAGAAGTGTAGTAAAAATGTTACCAAGTTTATATTTTACTCATGCTACTTTGGCCTACTTTTACAAGTAATCAGATAGCTCAGATTAATAACTATTGTCTTGGCTTTGAGAAAACTTCCTTTTTGCTTTTTATTTTATTTTATTGATTTTTAGAGAAAGAGGAAGAGAGAGAGAAAAGAGAAACAATGATATGAAGGAGAATCTTTTGGTTGCCTCCCTTATGAGCCCTGACTGGGGAATCGAGCCTACCACCTTGGTATGTGCCCTAATTGGGGAATCGAGCCTATGACCTTCGTATGTGCCCTGACTGGGACGCAAACCCACAACCTTTTGTGTATGGGATGATGCTCCAATCAACTGAGCCATTCGGCCAGGGCACGAAGACTATTCTTGAACACCTTGCAAAATCAGAATTTTTCCTTTGATTTTAATGACCCTAAATGACTTCTTTAGGTCCTTGGCTTTTTTTTCCATAAGGGAGTGTACTTTACATTACATCTACTTTACAGTAAAATCCTTAGTTTGAACACCAGAGGGCAGTCAGTACTTTATTCATAAATTCATAGTTTCATTACCGAGTTAATTCTTGAGGGGATTATTTATTAACAATTTAGTAAATCAAGTTGATTGTAGTTGCCTGGTGACAAATCCTAAAGAACATGTCCAGACTGGCTGGTGTGGCTCAGGGGTTGAGCATCAACCCATGCACCAAGAGGTCGACGGTTTGATTTCCAATCAGGGCACATGCCCAGGTTGTAGGCACAATCCCCAGTGGGGCATGCAGGAGGAGGCTAGTCGATGTTCTCTCATCGATGTTTCTATCTCTCTCTCCCTCTTCCTTCTTCTCTCTCTAAGATCAATAAAGAAAAAAAAATACATTAAAAAAAAAAAAAGGAAATATTCATATGGCCAATGAGAATAACATACAATAACTCCACAGGTTTTTACTGGAAACATTTTTCTCTCCAACCTTCTGCATCACTTAACTCAAGCATAACTTAAATTTAATTTAATGTAATTAAGTAAATTTATCATTAAGCTAATTAAATTTAACTTAAATTAAATATAGCTTAAATTTACTAGAGAATATCAAAGTGAGAGTTGCTATGGAAATTATAATTGGCCAGTAGTCAACTGAAATATAAACTGAAATGTCCTTTTGATCACTAATATGAGAAAAAAAAATTGTGTTCTATGCTACTAAGATTTTTTTCTCTAATGCTTTAAATTTTGGAATTTGTACATTAACAAAAATTTATATTCATAATATGGATTTTAGAAAAAATGTAAATGATTCACAGTTATATATTTAACAAACACTCTCATTCTCTGTCTCCTCCATTTCTTCTTCAAATGTAATACTGATTTCTTAGTTACTTACAAAACATACATATAAGAATTTGGTTTATTGAATTATAGTCCACTCAGTGCCATTTGACAAAGTAAAGCTTCTGAATGTAAAATGAGTTTGTTTCTAAGGTAGAGTCTCTCTGAGATGGGGTGAGAATTTTGTTACAGTTGGGTTAGCTAACAGTTATGTAGATGTATTGAAAAAGAATTATTTTTTTTTATTCTAAAAATAAAATGAGGGATTTATATCCATCAACTTACAGTAGGGCCTCTAGGACCTTCCCTACATGGATATATGTGTACACATTTTATTATAGTTTAAAATTAATTATTTTTGTTAGTATTAACATTTGTTAATACCACTACTGATCTTATTGGAAGTCTTTAAATCTTGGGAAGCTATCAAGCTTATTCTGGGGGATATATTTTCCAAAATTTTAATTTTGTCTTGAAAGCTTGACTTAATATCACTGACAATGCATACTATCAGGCTTTGTTTTCTTTATTCAGTTTTGAGAAAATATCTGTCAAATATCTAAGCATTAATAATAGTTTGTCATTCAGTCTTTCATTTGAAAATGGTATTTTATGAAAACAAAACAAAAAAACCAACTAGCTAGTTCAGCTTACAACTCAATCACACAAGTGCCTTTCCTGAAGGTAACCATTGTACTTAAGTATGTGCTTTATGCATACTTATCATTTTATCACACAGTATAATGAAAAGACATGTACTAAAGGGTTGAGAGTTATTAAAATGAATAATTTTTATCAAGGACATTCTTAAAGCTGGCATTATTTTTAACTTCAATTATATAGTAGTGAAGAATATGAGGCCTATTACAATTTGCTGCTATTGCCTTGATTAGTTTTAAGGTACTAGCAGTTTTGCTCAGCATTGCTTTTGGACCATCAGTGCAAATGTCAACACAGTGAAAAAGGCAAATAATTCTTTAGTATTATTAAGTATATAGTTGTACCTCTTGGACTCCTAAAAGGATCTCAGGGATCCCCAGGGATCGATGGACCATACTAGCTTCAGCTTCCTGAGTTTCACAGAGTTTCTTCTGTGGAAGGAATAAACAAAGTCAAGACTTATTCCTGGAAATTGTTTTGGGCAGGGCTTCATTGTGGACCAGGCTTTGGACATTTAACAGGCTTTGGACATTGGCAGAAATGTGGTCAGAGGGAGTGAGCAATTCTGTGGTATTTCCTAAATTGAGTATGATCTGTGTACAATTTTAAGATAACAAACACTTCTGTGGGGTGAAATGAGTGTTCTGAGTTCATTAGGCAAGTGAGTACTTTGAGAAGAAATTCACCAACATTTAGTCAAGAGAAGCTGATGGCCAGGCACACCTGGGCACTATGTACTTATCTTTGAAAAGAGGATAAATGGCAGGCAACAGAAATCTTGGTTATGAAAGCCTTCAGTATGTCAGAGTTACACTGCTCCAATCTGGATAGGCGCTGCTCTATGTACACAGCTGTTGTCCTGGGATAGTCCTAGTTACCTGGCGACTCTGCTTCTCTCGTGTGTTTCCTCTTTTGTTTCCTAAATCTTTTTTTTCTTTTTTTTTTTTTTTATCCTCACCCGAGGACATTTTTCCATTTTTTGTTCAGGTAGAGTGGGAGGGAGAGAGAGGAACAGAGAGAGAGAGAGAAACATCGATGTGAAAGGAACACATCGAGTGGCTGCCACCCGCACAACCGACCAGGGCCGGGGACAAACTGCAACCAAGGTACGCGCCCTTAGCGGGAACCGAACCTGGGTCTCTCAGGACCGCAGGCCGACGCTCTAACTGCTGAACCAAACCGACCAGGGCGTTTTTTTTTTCTTTTTTATCCTCGCCTGAGGACATGATATTTTGTTCAGACAGAGTGGGAGGGAGAGAGAGAAAGAGAAACATCGAAGTGAAAGGGACACATCGAGTGGTTGCCACCCACACCACCCAACCAGGGCCGGGGACAAACTGCAACCAAGGTACGTCTTAGTGGGAACCGAACCCGGGTCTCTTCAGACCGCCACTGAGCCAAACCGACCAGGGCTGTTTGCTAAATCTTATGTCTTCCTCTTTCTTTTTCTTTTTTATCCTCACCCGAGGACATTTTCTCCATTTTTTTATTCAGATAGAGCGGGAGAGAGAGAGAGAAACATCGATGTGAAAGGGACACATCGAGTGGCTGCCACCTGCACGACCCAACCGGAGCCAGGGACAAACTGCAACCGAGGTACGTGCCCCTAGCAGGAACCGAACGTGGGTCTTTCTGGACCACAGGCCAATACTCTAACCGCTGAGCCAAACCGGCCAGGGCTGTCTTCATCCTCTTTCTTGATTGCCAATAGCCTGTTGATGTTGGACCTCCTGGAATAGTTCTCTAATTGTCTCTTTCTTTAGCTCTAGCTCCTAGAAGATTTCTTTTTTTTTTTTTTTTATCCTCACCTGAGGACATTCTTCCATTTTTTGTTCAGATGGAGTG